TGTAGCCGCGCGGCACGGGGTTCGAACCAGCCGGGATTTAAAAATGGCGGCGCCCCGCTTATGCAAATGAAGCCCGGGAAATTCAAATCCCGGGCTTCATTTGCAATTGCGGTATGCCTACATTACCCTCCTATTTCGAAATAGGAGGGTAGTGTAGACCTACCCAGAGGGATAGCTGAGGGAGGAGGAAGCTGTGTGTGTGGGGGAGGTGAGGGATATGAAAGACAGGGATAGCTGAGGGAGGAGGAAGCTGTGGGGGGGATGAGGGATAGTGGAGGGAGGAGGAAGCTGGGGGGGGAGGGATGAGGGATAGTGAAGGGAGGAGGAAGCTGTGGGGCTCCTTGTTTTGCCATCTGTCACCACTGAAAACAGCCTCTCTCTCCATCCTCTGGAACCTCCCTTCAGGAACTTGAAGGCTGCTCTCAAATCGCTCCTCACTCTTCTCTTCTGCAGACTAAATAAGCCCAAATCCCTCAGCCTCTCCTCGTAGGTCATGTGCTCCAGCCCCCTCATCATTTTGGTCGCCTTCCGCTGGACCGTCTCCAATGTGTCCACATCTTTTCTACAGTGGGGGGCCCAGAACTGGACGTAATACTCCAGTTGTGGCCTCATCAGTGCCAAATAAAGGGGAATAATCACTTATCTTGATCTGCTGGCAATGCTCCTCCTAATGCAAACTAATATCCATTAGCCTTCTTGGCTACAATGGCACACTGTTGACTCATATCCAGCCTCGCATTCACAGTAATCCCCAGGTCCTTTTCTGCTGAATGCTGTTTAGCCATTCTGTCCCCAGACTCTAACAAAGCTTGGGATTCTTCCGTCCCAAGTACAGGACTTTGCACTTGTCCTTGTGGAACCTCATCAGATTCCTTTTGGCCCAATCCTCCAATTTGTCTAGGTCACTCTGAACCCTCTCTCTGCCTGCCAACGTATCGACCTCTCTCCCTAGCTTAGTGTCATCCACAAACTTGCTGAGGGTGTAATCCATCCCCTCAACCAGATCATTATTAAAGATGTTGAAGGAAACTGGCCCTAGAACTGATCTTTGGGGCACTCCAGCTGTAACCAACCACCACCCAGACAATGAGCCACTGATCACTACCCATTGGGCCCAGCAATCTAGCCAGCTTCCTATCCACCTTACAGTCCATTTATCCAATTCCTTAACTTGCTGGCAAGAATATTGTAGGAGACCATATCAAAAGCTTTGCTAAAGTCAAAAATCTAAATCGTTGATGAAGATATTGAACTGAACCGGTCCCAGAACAGCCCCCTGGGGAACCTACTTGTACTGCCCTTCCAGCATGACTGTGAACCATTAATAACTACTCTCTGGGAACAGTTATCCAGCCAGTTATGCATCCACCTTATAGTAACCCCATCTAAGTTGCATTTGCCTAGTTTATTGATAAGAAGATCACGCGAGACTGTATCAAATGCTTTACTCAAGTCTAGGCATCCCATGTCCACCGCTTCTCCCTTAGCCACAAGGCTTGTTATCCTATCAAAGAAAGCTATCAGTGTCCCATGAGGGCAGGGGACTGGACTTGATGACCTCTCGAGGTCCCTTCCAATCCTAGTGTTCTATGATTAATGTCACCCTGACAGCGGGCCTTACTGAGAGCAGTGATGTGTGCATCTCCCCTTCCAGCCCCTTCCTTTGTTCTCCATGCATCACCCCCACCTCAGCCAGACTTGGGCTGGGGCTTGTGGTCTCAGCTCCAGGGTTACCATACATCCGGTTTTTCCCAGACATGTCCTCCTTTTCGGTCCTTAAATCTCCATCGGGATGGATTTTTTAAATATCTATAAATGGCTGGGATTTTGCCCTGTTCATTCTTTTTCAAACAAAATTGACCCCTGCCTAGCTCGTCCACCCCTCGCCATGCCCAGCTCCAGCTCCAGCCTGCCCCCCCCAACCCCCCCGCCCCAGGGCTGTAGTGACACGAGCAGCTGGTCTCAGCGTTCTCTCCTTAGGGTGCAAGAGAGTATGTGCAGGAGCCACGGCTGAGGCTGCTGCCCCACTCAACGCGCCGGCAGGCAGGGGAGGGAAGTCTGGCTGCAGCTGGCGCCATACACGCGGCTCTGCATGCTGCCTGCCCCAGGCACAGTCCGGCTGCAGCTGGGTGGGGCCCTGGTGCCCCATGGAGGTGGCAGCAGCTTGTGTCTGGGCAGCCCCACCCCAGGGTGTGGGTGGGAGAGACAGAGCCTCCGGCCCAGCCCTGCAGCAGTGCCTGGCGTGGCGAGTCCCTGGCTCCTGTCCCAGCTCCCCAGAAGCTGCCTCAGGTATCGCAGCCTGCACTAGATTCCACTAAAGTGCTTTTGTGGAAAAGCGTCCGTGCCAATCTAGACGCTCTTTTCCGCAAATGCTTTTAATGGAAAACTTTTCCGTTACAAGCATTTGCGGAAAATCATGCCAGTCCAGACGTAGCCCATAGGTCTAACTTTACACACAAGCGTGATACACACTCCCAAATAAGATAAACAGCCCCAGCGGAGTAAGGCATGAAGATCGATCGATTACGTGAAGTAATTTGCTCAAAGCACCTTTGAATTATGTACATTGATGTCCATAAGCCCATTTCATAAAGCATGGGGAGAGTGAACCGTCACATTCAGCTCCTAGCTCTCCCTGCAACATCGGGCAAGTCCTGTCAACCTGTGCCTCAGTTTACAAGGGAAAGGCAATAGAGTAACATGTACTCGGCTGTCTTCCAGCTGTGCCTTGATGACTGATGAGTTCACATGAGTGACCAGGGAGCACACAGAATATTGGCCCTTTCAGATGGGATGGGGCAGGCTGAGGAGAGATAGGGGGCTGGCCCACCTACTGCTTCCACGACAAACCCAGTCACCCTCTCCCCACCTGCTCGGAGTCCTGTTCTCCATGCTGCCCATTCCAGTCGCCTCCTCACCCAAAGTATGGGCTCTGGAGTAATTTATTCCCCCAGCTTTGCCCTTGGCCTTCCTTCCCCCTGTGTCTCCCAGCCAGCCAGCTCTCTGCTGCTGCTACTCATTCAGAGTCGCAGAGGCCCCATACCCCAGGCTGGGGCCATGGGGATGGGCGCAGCAGCAGCAGACGTGCCGTGTGTAGCATAGAGGAGCAGGTTGATAGGCAGCGGCAGAGTGGGAATTGCCGGGGCAGGAGAGTCAGCCATCAGAAGGACTCTACATAGAGGCTGCCCTAATATTGTGACACAGGTAAATTACCCGGTGCCTGAGGTTAATTGTTTAAATGGAAAATCAATGGGCAGCCATCATCTCTGGTCTGCGTGCGTCTGCCGCGAGAGGAATAGAAACTGCTGTTAGCTTCATTCACCAACAGGAACAAGCCTTTGTCCTTGGCCGGGGGTTGACAGGGCGAATGGGCAAGATCTGTGGGCTGCATGTGTCAGTTAGGGCTCACTGCTCACCATAATCCATGGAAAATCCCCCATATCCTTGTGGGGAATAGGAAAGAGCCCAGCTGGGGCCTGTCTGTTGGATTTGAACCAGGATTTTTGGCTTTGATTGCTGCCACTTGGGGGAAAGGAGTAGCTCCATTAGCTGGTAGCTGTAGCAGGCTATTGTTTTCTGTGTGGGCCAGCCACCAGTGGGGAAGGCGACACACACACTCTTACTTAGTGCTCTGCTTTAGCTTCCTTTCCTTGATTCTGTCAGCCAGTAGGCTCTGCTCGGTCCATAGACTCAATCATCAAAACATTTATCTAGTCCCACGCTCCCTCCCACCAGGAAAACCCCCTTATCTCACCCCAACCCCAGAACTCCTCTAACCACAAAGTGCTCATGACCTTTGGGAGAACTTCTGGGTTGGTTCCTAGCTTTCTCTGCAATATTGGGCAAGTCCTTTCCCCATGCCTCAGTTTCCCCTGCTGTACAAGGCATGGCAATACAGAAACACATCCATAGCTGCCTCTCACAGGTGCTGTGAGGATTAATGAATTCATCCCAAATGTTGTTCACACCATTTGCTCCAGGTAATCATCTCTGGATACCTTGCTTGGGGCTGGGAGTTAGGAAGAGGAAGGCTGAACTTCTGCTGTTTCTTAGCAGTTAAGGGTGTGTCTAAACTACATGGCTCCATCGATGGAGCCATGTAGTTTAGACACACCCTTAACTGCTAAGAAACAGCAGAAGTTCAGCCTTCCTCTTCCTAACTCCCAGCCCCAAGCAAGGTATCCAGAGATGATTACCTGGAGCAAATGGTGTGAACAACATTTGGGATGAATTCATTAATCCTCACAGCACCTGTGAGAGGCAGCTATGGATGTGTTTCTGTATTGCCATGCCTTGTACAGCAGGGGAAACTGAGGCATGGGGAAAGGACTTGCCCAATATTGCAGAGAAAGCTAGGAACCAACCCAGAAGTTCTCCCAAAGGTCATGAGCACTTTGTGGTTAGAGGAGTTCTGGGGTTGGGGTGAGATAAGGGGGTTTTCCTGGTGGGAGGGAGCGTGGGACTAGATAAATGTTTTGATGATTGAGTCTATGGACCGAGCAGAGCCTACTGGCTGACAGAATCAAGGAAAGGAAGCCTTCTTACACTAGAGCTATTTGAGGGTAGGCCATGGTAATGTCATTGGCTCACTCCTGCAAGGAAGTAGTGCACCCAATCCAACCATTAGTTACTTTCAGGCATAACCTCACAGCATCCTCCAATCAGTGTCGCACAATGTTACGATGTCACACAGCATCATCCAGTCTATGTCGTCCATTTTGCTCTGATGTCACAGAGACGCTCTGAATACTGTCCCGCACTGTGATGTCAGAATATCGTCCTATCAGTGTTGGCCTCTGCTCTGATGTCATCAAACAGCCCACAGCTCAGAGGTACCTGCTGGGCTCCAGTGTCTTTGTCAAGGGATCAGACCTCTTTTTCTGCTATTAATTTTGCAGGTCCCACCTTTTTCTCCACTCACGCTCATCTGAGGAAGTGGGTTTTCCCCACAAAAGTTCAAGGTACTCTCTATATTTTTTGTTAGTCTCTAAGGTGCCATGGGAATAGTTTGTTTTGTAGGGATTATTGTTGGTTTAGACCAGTGTTTCCCAAATGATGTTCCGCCGAACCCCAGAAGTGAAAATAAGGGTTCTGCGAGAAAATTCCATTACAATTACATTCTATGATTACAGAAATAATAATGACTATTATGTGATTTTTGTTTTTAAATATGTGCAATTCAACTAAATGTTGATCTCATGACCTTGTTTAGCATTTGTTTATTATTATCCTTACTTATTTGTGGTCTACTATTTCAGCTCCATATATTAGGGGTTCTGCAAAATTCTTTCGCATTTAAAAGGGTTCCGTGGCCAAGTAAAATTGAGAAACACTGGGGCCGTGTCTAGACTGGCAAGTTTTTCCGGAAAATCATCTGCTTTTCGGGAAAAACTTGCCAGCTGTCTACACTGTCCGCTTGAATTTCCGGAAAAGCACTGACGATCTCATGTTAGATTGTCAGTGCTTTTCTGGAAATACTATGCTGCTCTCGTTTGGGCAAAAGTCTTTTTCTGAAAGACTTTTGCGCAAAAGGGCCAGTGTACTGTTTTCCGCAAAAAAGCCCCGATGGCGAAAATGGCGATTGGGGCTTTTTTGCGGAAAAGCGCGTCTAGATTGGCCATGGACGCTTTTCCACAAAAAGTGCTTTTGCGGAAAAGCATCCTGCCAATCTAGACGCGCTTTTCTGAAAATGCTTTTAACAGAAAAGTTTTCCGTTAAAAGCATTTTCGGAAATTCATGCCTGTGTAGACGTAGCCTGGGTGAGACAATAATCTGTCCAGCCCTGAATTCAAATGAATCCACTGTTGTTTCAGAGCATGTGGCTTGTAATGCTGCCAGCTGTTGCAGACTCTGCCCACGTGATCAGCAAGGAATTTGTCCTCCATCAGAGGGGCCTGGTGTACCATGGAGGGAGCCGAGAACATGGTGTGGGGTGGTGCTTTGGCAGCAAGGTGAGGTGCTGTGTGAGGAGGGTGTGAGAGAGGAGACCAAGGTCTCTTTCAGGCGTATGATTAGTTTTTCTTTCATGTTACTCAGGCGTTGATAGATGGTGTTACACGACGAAATGTCCTGTAATTACTCAGTGGGACAGTGGGGATTCATCAGGCACTGATCAATATTCACAGCGTCCAGCCAAATGAAATCCCTCATCTGCTCACCTTCTGGCACATGGGGAAGAAATACAGTAAAGCGAGGATCCAGGCACTGCTCTGCTAGCCAGCCACGGCTCACTGCGTGCAACCACAACTGTGCACACGCAGCACACACAGCGCCACACGCATGCACACGTGCTCATCCACACAACATACCTAGCACCACTTACCAGCATAGCGTTCACAGATTCACCACTGCGCACATGCACTTACCCACACAGCATACACAGCTCTACTACGTCACACACTCACCAGTACAGCACACAGCTCCATCACTGCGCCCACTTGCTCATCAACACAACACACGTGGATTCACCATTGCACATGCATACTCACCAGCACAGCACACACACAGCTAAACTACTTCACACATGCTCACCAGCACAGCACACACAGCTCCATCACTGCACTCACTTGCTCATCAACACAGCACACGTGGATTCACCATTGCACATGCATACTCACCAGCACAGAACACACAGCTCCACCACTTCACACACACGTTCGCCAACACAGTACACACAGATTCACCACTGCTCGCACGCCCTCACCAGCACTACACACACACGTGCAAACAGTGATAGAAATGTAGCCGTGTTAGTCTGGGGTAGCTGAAGCAAAATGCAGGACAATGTAGCACTTTAAAGACTAACAAGATGGTTTATTAGATGATGAGCTTTCGTGGGCAAGACCCACTTCCTCAGATCAAATAGTGGAAGAAAGTAGTCACAACCATATATACCAAAGGATGTGCAAACGTGCACTTGCTGACGTGCAGCACACGCAGCCACAATCATCACATTCACCTCAGGCTTCAGAGCTCAAGCTCCAGCCCGGGCCACAGTTTCTCAGCACTGTCCACACAGCTATGTATCGAGTTTTCGTATGAGCCCTTCTAGCCCGATTGTATAGGCCTGGGCTGGGGGACTGGCTGCTGCGGGTGCGTAGATGTACCAAAGGGATCCCGGAGGTGGGGCAGCTGGACAGCAGGTGTCAGGATGGAGTGTTAGCACCTAGGGAGTGGGCCGAGAGCCCCCAACACTGGGGGGAGTAAGTAGGCTTTGTTCACGCTTTAGGAGTCTCAAAACGCCTGGGATTCAGAGGCTGGCTTCTCACAGCCATTGATGTCTGCGGCAGGATTCTTCCAAGAGCCTTCCTGGGGTCTCTGGAGGTGGCCCCAGCTGTGCGTGCAGAGCTGGGTGTGCACTTGCTCTTTGCCCGCTGCTTGGTGGAGTGCCTGTGCGGGAACAGTCTATGCCGGGGCGGCGTAACGCCAGCAGGCCCCAGTGGGGTGTGGGTGGAGGCTCAGTGCATGAGCTTCTACTACAGCAGTGGGGAACCTCAGGCCTGGGAGCCAGATGCGGCCCCTGACTCGCCTGGATCGGGGCCCCTAGACTTCGGGCCCTCCCAGCATTGAGGAGCCCGCGCTGGCACTCCAGTGCCCCACCGCAGGCTGGAGCACACACTGGAGCCTGGGCCCTCTAGGCTCTGGTGTGTGAGGGGAATGTGCCGAGTGTCTGTCTCCTCAGCCAGGGGCTTCTCACTTTGCTTCCCACTTGTGTGTGGCCCCCGACTGATTTTTCAGTGGGTCAGCGGCCCCTGACCCCAAAAAGGTTCCCCACCCTGACCTCTCAGCTACGGCTGTAGGGCAGACTCATTCTTGTCGCTGGAAGTGGCCTCAGAGCCACTGGATGGGACAGTGCCCCTCACCCAGCTGGCGTGCGGGTTGCAGCATCATGTTTCCTTGCCACGGAGGAGGAGGACCAACACCATGAAGGGACCAGAGAGGGAATGTCACACAGGCACCAGGCCGGCTTTTGTCCAGGCCAGATAAGGACACCTGGCATGTTCTGGAGAAAGCTGCCAAGCACACGTCAGAGATGAAGAGGAGTGGAAGCCTTTCTCACTCTCAGGGGACGGGAGAGGAAGCAACACAACTTTGGTCGTGTGGAGGAGGGGGCTTTGCTCTGCAGCCCTCGGATGCCTCTTTGTCCAGCCTCAGCCTTTTGGGATTTTCCCTCTGAATTTAGTCCAGCAAAGATTATAAAATGGGCACCATCCTGGAAACACCTGGCCACTGCTAGGTGTGGCCGTGTTATCTCCTGCAAGGTGATGCACCTGTGGGAACAGGCAACAAGGAATGTGGCCCTTTCATGCAGTATCTCCGAGCCCTTGCATGGAGTGTGGCTTTCGTGGCTGTTGGAGCTCTATTCCCTGACTGAAGGATGCATTGATTAAATGCTAATGTGCCACCGAGGCTGTCAAATAATTAGGACTCAGCGTTTACAGCAGCAGCTTTATTTAAAAAGGAAAAAAGGTTTTAAAACCCTAATGTGAATAGAAACTGTTTTTCCTATTTTGCATTTCCAGTAGAAAGCATTGTATAGATTTATATTTTTAATTCTAAACATGTTGCAGTGTTTGCAAATCGGGTACCAAAGATCAGCTCCTGACAAGCAGGAGCCAAAACTACCTGCAAACACACAGCTAACCTCACAGATTCTACTTTCTCAGCAGAGTGAAATGAAAAGGAAAAGCACATGGCAGAGAGAGAGAAAGTTCGACTTGAATTTTAACACACCCTTCCATTTTCAATACTTGGAAGCGTTTTTAAAGTAAACCTACGCTCTTGGTCTTGTCAGTGTCTCTTCAATCATAATTATCATTCATAGATCTGAAAGCATTTTAACAAAGGAAGGTCAATATCCATCGTACAGATGGAAAAGTGAAGGCTCAGAGAGCAGTGACTTGCCCTAGGTTACATCGTTATCATTCTGATTGCAGTAGTACCAAACGTGTTCTTGGCCGTGGCCGTCTGTGTGCTGTGCACACACAGTCAGAAAGAGTTGCTGCCTTGAAGAGCTTACAATCTAACCAGGCAAGAGAGGCAAATGATGGGAGAGGAAACTGAGTCATGCAGAAGGGAAGTGATTTGCCCAGCGGGTCAGGCACAGAGCTGGAAACTGAACCCAGGTGTCCTGATTTTCCTTCCAATTCGCAATCCATTTGACTCTTTAAAGTGACCAGTATTCATAGAACAGGCTCCACAGGGGTATGTCTGCCCCATAGCTGCTGCTGGGGCATAGCTAAGGTGCAGCAGCAATGCCTCTGTAGTGTAGACACTTCCTATATCAAAAGAAGGGTGGGTGGGTTTTTTTGGTCACTGTAGTTAATCAACAAAACCACAGAGAGGTGGTAGGTTGGTGGTAGGTTCATAGACTTCTTGCATCGACCTACCTACACCGACACTGCGCCTACTATGTCACGCAGGGTATGGCATCTTCCCAGCCCTGAGCCACGGTCTCTGGTTGAACTAGATTTTACACGTGGACCTGGCTTGTGTTAGGACTTCCTGTCTCTAAAAGCTCGTAGAGGGAGTCAGGATGGAGCCTATGTGACATTTTGATCTCAGGACTAGAGGTGATGACCAGGCTGGGCTTAATGGTGGAACGAGCCAATATCTTAGTATTACACTGAAGTGGGGTAACGTATGGGGGTCTTTGCTGAAAACTCAGAACTTAATGATCATCGTGGTTATTGTGAGAGGTTTGTATGGGAAATAATTAGAGAGTTAGGTAGAATTGTAGGTTTCTAAACTGTGGAAGTGCAACTAGTCTCCCAAGGTGAGATGGGTCACAGCATTCAGTCTGCACCGGGATGTTAAATATCGGTTAACTGAATAGTCAAGTAACTGCGTGAAGTCTTATCAATTAGTCAACTATTCTATAGTCCCTGGGGGCGGGGCTGGCAGCAATGCGGGGTGCCAGGTGGGAGCTAATCCGCAAGGGGAGCCAGTTTAAAAACCAGCTACTCTTGCAGACCAGCTGCTTGTTGCCTCTGAGAAAGAGGCAGCAGCCCCTGTCTGGGGTGGGAGGGGTCTGAGTTCCTGGACCCTGCACGAACCGGAACTGAGCAAGGGTGTCTTCCCACCCGGCTCTTTATACACGTTAAATGGAGAGCCACAGAGGGATAGGTCCCGGTCCCAGCATGAGCCAGAATGGAGCAGGGCTGCTGGCCAGCCTGCTAAAAAATATACTGGTTGGGGGGACGAGGGAAATGCGTGTAGTCTATAGCATTAACCTATAAACATTTGCTTATTGGTTAATCGGTTAATCGACTACACTCTTACATCCCTAGTCTGCACTGTGAACAGTGGGCATCCCTGGAGGCAGCACTTTGTTTTCTCTCTGGCCCTGGTGGAAATTTGAACATTTTACAAGGAGAAATAAATCCCAGGAGAGTGTATCACTCTGGAAGAGACCTTGAGAGGTCATCGGGTCCAGTCCCCTGACTAGAGTGTATCAAAGTGGGCTGCGTAAAGTGCTAGCCTGCAATGGGAAAGAGCAGAGCTTGTGCAGCCTGGCGTAGACCCCTCTGTTGTTAGTGTCTGGGGAGTTTTCCCTGGTGGACACAGACTGGTCTCCTTCTTTCTGTGAGCCGGTGCTTGTGATTTACCCGGGCAGAGGCAGCATATGCGACTCGTGTGTTCATGAGGGCGTGAGTGGAGGGTGCTGGGAATTAGGGGTCAGTTTCCTGGACCCCCGTGGAAAAGCCACATGGAAAGTGGGGATATTTGGGGAGACGTATGCGTATGATAAATGGCCTGTGTTTAACAAGTTCCTTCCCCCAGGCTCACGCAGTGTCTGAATCATTTCTCAGGGACTGCTGTCTAGCTGTGCGCAGGGGCTTGTGCCAGGAGATCTATTTGGGGCTGGTATTTAAAGGCTTTTAGGGAAGGTTTTGCTGTCTGACTGGCAGAAGGTTTGCACCTGCTGCTTTATAACATTTCTCTTCTCCCAGGGAGATGGGGGTGGACAGCAAAGGAGCCGGAGGAAAAGGGAAATCCCAGCACTGACAGGAGAAACTTGGAGGAAGGAAGGGTGAGCAGTGAGAGGAGGGAGCAGCCATAAGCAGCGTGAGGATGAAATGGGGATTGCAGTGATAGGGCTGTCTCTCTGGGTATGTTCTCCTTCTTAAATCTCTCTCCCTCTTTCTCAGCCCCTTTCCCCCACCCCATCGCTCAGCGTGGGTCTCCACTGCAGTCTAGCCCACTGTTTTTGCCTTTCTCTGTCACACATTCATAGACACACTCACACTGCAGGCACACACTCACAGACATACTCTGCATGCATACATTGCGCACACATGGACATACGCCACATGCACACACACTCATAGGCTATGTCTATGTTGCAGAGGCTTTTTGCACGTACACACTTAGACACACATACAGAACCAGCCCTAGACTGAAGGGAGCCCCTCTCTCCATTTGTCAAACTTTTGAGGACCTGATTTTTATTGCATTCATCGCCCGTTTCATGACACGGATGCACAATTTGCGTGTACAGCTTCTCCCTGTCGACAGTCTCACAGTTGGGCTCTCATTTTACTTCAGTTCATTTTTCTATGTCGCTGACTGACTGGGGACCCCCACTTCTTAGCATCCTGTGAGTGCCTGGCTTTCCGCTTTCTAGGAGGTTCGAGGAAAACATAATTCTCAACGAGTCTAGAAGGATCCACGAGATTCTACAAAGATCTGGAACATTCTAGGTCAGTGACGAACGGCTCCCCGCACGGACTACCTGAAACATGTCACTTTAAACGTTCTATTTTCCCTTTTGACACTAACAACAAACACATCCCCCAAACCCAGCACCCCAGCTGGGTCCTATGGCCCTAAATGTGACCTGTGCAAATGCTTCATCCACGTGCAAATGCACACTGCTCGTGCGCACACACAATCACCGCACGTTCGCTCTCTCACACCCATCTCTCTCACCTCTAGAAGTGCTTTGGAGCTGGGGCTGGGCCAGGCTGTCTGCCTGGCTGCACAGACCACCCAACCCTGCCAGCAGCACCAGCTGGAGTGTCACACAGGTGTGCCATCATCAAAGGCAGGGGGAAGGATTCTCGTTTCACACAGTCATTAACCTTCCTTCCCCGCCAAGGAAACCAGCTCACAGACAGCAGGTCCCCCCTCCCACCATGCCTGAGGCCAGGGCTCCGCCTGAGTGAGCCCAGCTCACTGCTGCCAAGGACTTCAGCATCCTCCAGGCAAACCCAAATGGAAGTGCCTGGGGGCTCACTGCCCTTCATGCTGAGCCAAGTTCCTGGGGTCACTTGCGCTCCATGGGGCAGCCAGCCCGAGCAGAGAGCCCCAACTCAGCGCCTGTCTGGGGAAGCTGCAGCCAAGCTGGGGAAGCTGCAGTCAAGGTGAACACAGCGGCGAGGAGTCCTGTGGCACCTTATAGACTAACTGAAGTGTTGGGGCATAAGCTTTCATGGGCAAGGACCCACTTTGTCACATGCATCTCACGAAGTGGGTCTTTGCCCACGAAAGCTTATGCCCCAACACTTCAGTTAGTCTATAAGGTGCCACAGGACTCCTCGCCGCTTTTGCAGATTCAGACTAACCCGGCGACCCCTCTGAAGGTGAACGCAGAGTCTCACAGAAATATTACACCCATCGTTTCCTCTCCCACCTTGTCCCATCCTGTCTGTCCCCTTCATCCTCGCTCCATTCCCCTTTCTTTCTGCATTTCTTTCCCTTTCCCCTTTTCTTTTCTCCCCTTTCTCCTCGTCTTCTCCCCCGACCTCACTCCCTCTGTGTATCACCTACTCCTTTCCCTCCCCTCTCTGGAAGGAACTGAGCTCAGATTTTCCAAAGGGAGCTCAGCTCCCATTTATGCGCCGAAACAAACAGCCAGATTTGCAAAAGGGCTCCGTTCAGTGGGCACTACGCCCTTAAAATGAAATCTCTCCTGGCCCTACAGCCCTAATTGAAATCACTGGGGGGCTGGGCAAGGATCACTTAGCGATGGGGTGGATTTTCCACAGATCCCTACAGCTGCTTGGCCCAGTGCGGTTGTCCTGGATGGAGGTGACTCCCGGCCCTGCCCTTTAGCTCTGCAGCTGGCCACTGGCTGGAAGCCAACTCTCCCACTGACATCTCCCTGCCAGAGTCTGGCGGGGGGGATTATGCAGAATGCCCTTCAAGGTTAGTTTGTTTCTCAATTCCGTGCCCTGAAATGAGAAACCTGTGGAAAGTTTGAGACGTCTGAAGTAAGTTCCCAAGGCATTACAGTCCCTTATTACTCTGTTTGTTTCTGAGACCAGAGGGATTATCTGCGCCACTGAACTGAGAAATTCTATCGTTCTTGCAAAAATAGGTTGAAACAGAGGCCCGATAAGGTACAGGGGAACAATTAGGGTGACCTTGACGGTTCAGAGAGCTCCTCTCATCAAGTGGGAAAGCTGAGGGCGGGAGGGGAGGGGGATTGAGAGATGGCTAGGAAAAGGGGAGCCAAAGAGGAGGGCAGAGCGGGAGAGGAAAGGGGGTAAAAGCTAGCGAGGTGATGAGCCCCAAAGGTAACACAGAGCAGGAGAAAGGCAGGGGAAAGGGGGAAGAAAGAAACAATCACACAAGGGCAACTGAAGAATGAAAGAGCCATCAGTGGCACTGGCACAGAATAAAGCAAGAGTCTGATGCTGCAAGCAGGCTTTGCGCCATGGGCATGTGCATTGACCATGCTGTGAGCAGCAAGCATGCAGCCCCTGCGGTACCCACATTGTCGACAGCTCTGAGCCTGGGCAGTGCCTAGGGGATATGTGTGGGGGGGTCAGTCTTTGCCTTGGTGCACACGCCGCCTCCCCTCACTCGG